GATTCTTCGAGCTCTGGTCAAAGGCGCAAGGGAAGAAGGGGAGCAAGCAGGCCGTCGTTTGCAACGCCACATTGAGCGCCCTGGGGAGCGGTGCCCAGTGGGCCAAGGCTCTGCAGCTCTTGGGCCACATGGAGGTGTTGGGCATCTTGCCCACGGTGGTCAGCTACAACGCCGGCATCGGCGCCATGGGCCGCCGGTGGCCCCTGGCTTTGAGGCTCTTCCAGTCGATACCCGCACAGCGGCTCTCACCGGATGTCGTCAGCTACAGCGCCGCGATGGGCTCCTGTGAGAAGGCAGGGCAGTGGCAGCTGGCCCTTCAGATCTTCGGCTCCATGCCCGAAGCGCGTGTGGATCCCGACGTCATGAGCTTCAACACGGCCATCGGCGCTTGCAGCGCTTCTGAGAAAGGCTGGGAGATGGCACTGCAGCTTTTGGACTCCATGCCTCGAATCCAACTTGCTCCGAACGTCTTTAACTACAGCACCGCCCTCAGCTCTTGTGAGAAAGGGGCAAGGTGGCAGCCAGCCATGCAGCTGTTTGAGTCGATGCCCAGGGTCAAAGTGAAGCCGAACCTTATCAGCTACAGTGCTGCCATCAGCTGCTGTGAAAAGGGGGGCCAGTGGCAACTGGCCCTGCATCTGCTGAACTCTATGCCGGCGGCAAGCATCGTACCCGACGAAATCAGCTTCAATGCTACCATCAGCGCCTGTGAGAAAGTCGGTCAGTGCCACTTGGCCTTGCGACTCTTTCGGAGCATGCCGAAGGCCAAGCTCTCTCCCAATGTTGTCAGCTACAACGCCGCCGTGAGCTCCTGCGAGAAGGGCATGGAGTGGCAGATCGCCTTGCAGCTCTTCCACCTCATGCCCCAAGCAAGGCTCGCTCCAGACGTAGTCAGCTACAATGCCACCATCACCGCATGTGAGGTGGGTGGACAGTGGCAGCTGTCTCTGGTGCTGTTCCACGCTATGCCTTGGGCCAACATAGCCCCGGACGCAAGCAGCTACAACGCCACCATCAGTGCATGTGACAGGGGCCGGCAGTGGCAGATGGCCTTACAGCTCTTCAACGCCATGACCGGCTGTCATTCGGGGAAGCGGTCTCAGCATGTCCGCAACGGATCCTGAACCGTCAAAAACGAATTCATGAAACTACCAACACAAATTGTGGCCCATCTAGTGCTGTCATCTCAGTGTTGTGGCGTTTTCTGACTGTGTAGAAGAGCACTGGGAAAAGTTTATCACTAGTTTTTACTCTTCGGGCTGGTCATTACCCAGATGCAAAAAACCATTGCGGACGATCTGGTCCGGGTGGGGTTTCGGCTCCACCAGCTTTGGAATTGCGAGCCTTGCTCGAACCCAAGCTTTGCAGGGCGGCGGAAGATTGAAAATACCCCCGGCTCAATCCCGAAACAGCTCAGAAACCCGAGTGCCATGCCTGAAGCTTCCCAAAGGGTCCCAAGGCTCAGCTTCCCAGCTTCTACCCCGACAGCGCAGTGCGCCCCGCCTTTTGGCCTCTGAGGCAGCGCAGCCGCGCCAAACCGCTGGCGGGGCTCCGGGACACCAGGCCTCGTTTCTGGGGAGACCTCTCCAATTCAGAACAAGCTTTGGAACCAAGGTTTGTGGTGTTAGACACTGGCACCTAAGAGAAGCACTGTTACTTGATTTGCTTGACTTACGATGGCACATGCTTGTGGGCCAAAGCCGTGGGGGAGAGGCTCAGGACGCCGTCTGTAGCCTTTTTCCCTATGAAGGATCGGGTCCTTAAGCCCCTCAAGTTAGGGTTCTAGGTGGGCTTTCCGCAACTTCTTCCCCGCCCCCCCTTATTCCGATGGCGCCTCCAGGCTCGATCTTCCTGCTGTGCCGGAGGCGCCGGACATCCGGCCCCACGTTTCCAGGGGTATGGACGGATATTGCATGGTGGGGGTCCGCCTGTGCTGTAGAATGCAGTGCGTGCGGGCTCTTCGGGATCTTAGGCAGCATCATGAAACCATCTCCTCCATTTTGTCGCGTGCATGTCAGAGCACAAGCCAGTTGAGGGAACGTTCGTACTACTAGGGTAGTAGTAAGCGTAGTCGCAGTCGTAGTACCAGAACAAGAGACACCAAAATAGGCTCGACAGCACCTTGGCTACAATGGATCTTGCAGCCAACCTCAAATCAATGCACACCAGCGCCACTGAACTCACAATTTGAGCAACCACAACAAGTCCTGGAGCCCTAAAGCCTAACCAAGCCCTACTTGCAAAAGCATTCTGGCAGCTTGGTGGCCCCCATCGGTGCATCACCTTAGCAGGTTCTCAAAAGGTCCCAGTTCCCTCAGAACATGTTTACTGTGACCTCGGAGAGTCCCACAGTGTAAGCAGGGCAAAAGATCAGAGGCCCAGGGTCTGTTGCCAAAGACCACGCAATTACAGTTTGTAGTGCAGCTCAACTCAGTCCATCATGGATCGCCCAGCACTACTTGCCGCGCCAGGAGAAAGAGAACATCCCTCGGCCCCTCCGGCCCAAGGAGTGAGTGCGCATTGCAGTTCGCTTCGCTTCAGGAGTGTGTGTGTGTGTGTGTGTGTGTGTGTGTGTGTGTGTGTGTGTGTGTGTGTGTGTGTGTGTGTGTGTGTGTGTGTGTGTGTGTGTGTGTGTGTGGTGTGTGTGTGTGTGTGGTGTGTGTGTGTGTGTGGTGTGTGTGTGTCGGTGGGTGGGTGGGGTGGGTGGGTGGGTGGGTGGGTGGGTGGGTGGGTGGGTGGGTGGGGCGGGCGCGCGTGTGCGCCTGTCTGTCTGTGTCACCCGCTCTGCAGCGGGACAGGTCAAGGATGGGTCGACACGAGGGGGGGTTGGTGGGAGGGGTGTCTTTACTAGGAAAACCTGTGCTTTCTTGGGGAGAGACAGAGACAGAGAGAGGCAGAGGCAGAGAGAGAGATAGAGAGAGACGGGTCACCTAAAATGGGGACCCTCTCTGGGTAGAAGAAGAAGAAGAAGAAGAAGAAGAAGAAGAAGAAGAAGAAGAAGAAGAAGAAGAAGAAGAAGAAGAAGAAGAAGAAGAAGAAGAAGAAGAAGAAGAAGAAGAATAAGAAGAGCGAACAATGTGTTAGCAGGAAGGTTTAGCAAGAGGTCAGCAAGGTCTGGTGCTTGGAAAAACAAGCATGGGAACCTGCGTCACCCCGTCGCAGGAGGTGCACTGAGCCCGGGTGAGCCTGGTGTTGAGCAGTGGGGGGCGTGCAAATTGCTGTGAGGGGCAATCGCACTTGGCCCTTCGCACAAGCATGCAACGCAGAGCGCAACCGCATGTTGGGTTATAGTCATCTGGGGATGGAGCAGACTCTATCAACAAGGATTTGAATTCAAGCGTGTGCAGAGCAGGGATGTGATTCACCGAGGTGTGCTCCAAGCTTGCGTTTGAAAGTTTGCGGGTTTGATGTAAATTTAGATGTATGTGCTCATCTTCCACACAGCCCAAGTAACGCCCCACCCAAGAAAGACGGCGATCCTCACCAATAATGCAATGACAACGGCTGAGTCCCCTACGTACGGTTGCGTCAGTTGCAGCGCCGATGTAGTAGCCGGACCTCTGAGAAGAGCCTCAAGATGATGTCTATAGGCCAGGAGTCCCAGCACAGGGTGAGCCTGTGGTTTATGCAGCGACACTTGCGGTTCGTGTTTGTGGCTCAGGATGCTCATGCTCCGGGCTGTTCCTCGATGCTAGCTGCTTGCGTTGACAGTGTTGGGTTAGAAGCACAGGCGCAGTTGTAGTGCACTGGAGACTGGGCGAGGCGACGAGTGTATACCCAAGGCTCGGCAGCAAAAGGCCGACAAAACATGCCTCGAGATTCTAGAAAAGCAGAAGGCTCGGGCCTCCTTGGCTCAACGCAGAGGAAAGATAAGTCGAGGGGTAACCGCTGAGAACATGATGCTGCCGGCCGTCACCGTCGTCACCCCGCTCACCTGTGTGAAATTTGGGGGCCGTGAGGCCCAGTTGCCCAGGCTGCCCGGGCGGATTCATTGACAGGCATGATATAGATAGGGGCCTGCATAATCAGAATAGGGTTTTGAGGGTCAGTATGGTGGAATTACAAAGGGACCATAAGGGAATACTATGCGTGATTTTTCCGACCCCTATATTACCAACGAAAGCACGCAGCTTCGAGGGTCTCAGGGGCCATAAACGGGCGCATGCTACCTCTACACGTTTTTGGATTCCTGGGTCCGAGCAGCCATGAGTAGCATTTAGGGCAGCAACCTTGCGATTGGGGGCTTGGGAGTCGGCTCATTAATGGGAACAAACACACCCTTGAACTCGACTGCAGGAAACAGGTAGCAACGTGTCTGCACAGCCTGGCAGACCCATGCTGTACGAGACCGGGCAGCGTAATTTGAGTTTGCTATCCCGCTTGTCGGCTTGCAGGCTCTGTAGAGTGCAACCAGTGCAACACCGCCGCCTTAAAGGCCACAATTCAATGCGCGACGAAAACATGGAGTCGTGGCGTTTGGTAAGAAAGTGGGGGTTTACGGTTTCAGGGCCCCCCCAAATTTGAGAAGGCTTCCTAGGATTTTTGGTGTCTTCGCTGTAGGCCCGGGGGGGTGGAGAGAATCTCAGGGCTCGGGTAGAAAGCCGAAAGTCTCCAAAACTTGGACTCTTGCGGCTTTAGGGTTTAGGGTTTAGGGTTTAGGGTTCAGAGTTTAGGGCACGGCCAAAGATATCCAGACGGTTGGGCGGTGCATTCCAGCTGATCTGCGGGCACTGCGGCTCGAACGGAAGAGTGGACTTATATGGGGGTTGCGTCGAGGCCGGGGTGAGCAAAAGCCTCCGTGTGCTAAAGGATGTGCATGACCACCACAACCGGAAGCTCAGCTGTAGCAGCCAAAATTGTGGGGAAACAAGGGTCGGGATTGCAGGGCACAATTTGCGACCCACAGAAATTGGAGTTTTTGCTTTGGGAGCGAACTGTCATGACACTTGCAAGTCATGGCCCGGCCCGGCAGGTGATCTTCACCCCAAGAGACCACCGCAATGGCGATGGCATTTTCGCAGGCGGCCGCGAACATCATTTAGAGTTGGGAGATGAATAGAATGAAGGATTTCCTCATTCTTCTAAAACTCGAAGCTTCTGCACGGAGCCTTCCACGGTCTACGGGGTCCTCATATGAGACTGCTGAGTTCCCGAGCACCCGCGAAGGCTTTTTTGTTGCTTCGCCCTTTGAAAGAGGGATAAAGAGGCCGGGCGTAGAACTCCCAGGACATAGCCAAACCAAAGGACAAAGTGGAGGCAAAGCTCCACCCTCAAAGTGAAACCCCAAAACGGAGCCCTAAACCCTGAACCCTGAACTTGCAAGCCAGAGCCGTAAGCCTCCGAGCACCCCAAACCCACCCAGTTCGAAACCCGATCCTTAGTTTGACCTGGGCAATCACAGCGATTTAGGGTTTAGGGTTTAGGGTGTAAGGTGTAAGACACCAAGAACCCCTCAACGGTGGCTCGCTGGGCCAGGAGAGGTTTTTGGACTTGCTGGATCCTTTTGAGGCCCAGCACCCCCACTTTCGCAGAAATGGCCGTCTCGTGGGAGGGCTGAGGGGCTGAGGGGTTCAGGGCTTTGAGATGCCTTGTGTTTCACGGGTTTGCCGCGTATGAACCGCTTCTGTGCTGGGATTTGCAATTTCAGGGATCAGGGCACCTGCCATGGCTGCAAACAGACCTGTGGCCCTGCCACCAAGTCGGACCGGCATCCCGGCATCACGCATACTGGAGGCTGTGATGTGACACGACCCCGCGCCACGCAGATCTTTCCGAGGAAAGCACCTCGACGACCTTCCTCTTAGAAAAGCGTGTTTTCCACCTCCCCAGCGCTCGGAATCTGTCCGCAGATCCGCTTATCTGCATGCCAGAAGCTCTGATTCCTCCCTGCCTTGCGGAGGTTCATTCGCAGTAAAGCTCCACGTAACCAACAACCGGTACTGTGGCCAAAGCAGTTATTACTGCACTCTGGGGATCTCGCCGGGTCAGATTCATTCCGCAGCGCTCGCCCGAAGCTTGTTTGAGTTTCTGCTTCAAACCTCGCTTTGCCAAGGCATTGCTCTCCAGGGGTTTAGGGTTCAGGGTTCAGGTCTCCTTCGCATGTTTCTGGCCCTACGCCACAGGAAAGTCTGGCAACGCCAGAACTCGAAAAAGTCGACCATTTGTCTCAACAGCTCGTGCCACGATTGTGCAAGTGACATGTGGCCTTGAACTGCCGCTAGACGTGGAATTCAGCTCTTGAAGCATCTTCAAGCATGCAGGCCCAGCTGTGACTCCCCCTTCAGTCCAACGTCAGTATACAGAGCCTCGCGGGAGGGTGAGGGAGCTCTGTGAACCATCTGAGGAAGCAAACCGGAGCTGAAAGCCACTCCCCCCACCATTCTGGGCTCAAACGCACCTCCCTAAATTCTAACTCACCTCTTTTTTCCTCCAAACAACGCTGGCCAGGATGCAGAGGAGGAGGAGAGCGACGAAGTCGGTGTCTTGCCCGGCTTCGGCGGCCATGCGCCGGAGAGCCTCCACAAGAGTCGGAGTCGGGGATGCTTCCGGACGTTCGACGTGTTGGGATGGTGAGGGATTCTCAAGGTTCTCAAGGTTTGATTTTACATGAAGGAATTCGGCTGCATGAGGCATCGAGGTTCTGCAACATATGGCATACATTGCCAGAGTGTGCAGTGGGTACAAGAGCAGCATTTTTCATTGAATGATTTTGACCGAGTACTTTAGCTCCCCGAGACGAAGTTTCAATGACCAACGGGACCAACCACTGTTCGACAAACACCCGAAACAACGATGCAACCGCCATAATCACGGGCCTTGCACTGTGCCACCGCCTTCAAGCCGTAAATCAGCGAAACGGTGTGGGCCGGCGCTCGCTGAGTTGACTTGGCATTGCGAATCTTCCAGCCCTTCCATTGTCAGGTCATCCCCTCCCCCCACCGTACATCTGCAGACCCATATGACCAACTGGATCTCGCTGTAACAAACACAGCCGTTCCCCATGCCCGCTGTTCGTGGACTTGAGGACTCTGGAAGATTTCCCCCCTCTCCCCATTTTCATCGTGGTTCATCAGGGCCGGAACCGAGCCACCGGTGGAAACATCTGACCATGTGGCACGAATGGCATCGAATCCGAGGGACCCCGCTTAGCCACTATGGAAGAGACTCCCTGAGAATCAGAGACCAGGGTGGTGTGCCCACAGCCCACTTGCGCAGGATGCCAGCAAATTCTCCCGGCAGGCGTGGGCTCGTGGCCATGGGATGATTTCAGGTGTTGGGGCTCTCACGTTGTCGTGCGCTTAGGGCTTCAGATTGTTCAGGTGTGTGGTGCATGTTGGCGGCTAGGGGTCTGGGACTTAAGCGGCAGGATGGCGATCGACACAGATAGTGTTTTTGATGTCTCGCACCTCGCTCTTCGTGTTTGTGTGTTTGTTTGTTTGCTTGCTTGCTTGCTTGCTTGTTTGTTTGTTTGTTTGTTTGTTTGTTTGTTTGTTTGTGTGTGTGTGTGTGTGTTTGTTCGTGTGCTTGTGTGTTTGTGTGTTTGTGTGCCTAATAAAAATGATGATGTAGCGGGGAGCGGCCCATCTCCATTGCCTTTGCTTGGGAAAGTCTGGGCAAAATCCAAGGAGGACAGCACAAGGGTCTGTTGAAAGGCCTTGAATCCAACGTGGCAAAGAGGCCTCTAGTGACTTTAGCCACTCACCCAACATTGCCAAGCATCGGATGGATCACGAAGCCTAGGGTTTTGACCAGACAAGCTTTTGCTCTATAGTGAAGTGCCTCTGAAGGTACGTTGGCGGGGTGATGGGATGCCTTTAAGCGTTTTGTCGAGTCCCACGAACCCGCTTGCACCAGGAGTCCTCGCACGGACCCCTGCATTGGAACACCCGGTGCAGTACAGAGCTGCAGAACGTCATCGACAACTTCTGCATTGAAGAATTGCGCCCCCGTGGGAAGGGTAGGGTATTGGCTCGCATCGCTGTGCAGTTTTCACGTTGAACCTCAGAGACGAGTAGCGATAGTGGCGTGGTTTGTTTACAGCATGAGTGCCTCCAAACCCCCGATGATGCTCGTTCATTTTTTTTTCGTGGGCCCCTGCTTCTCAGGTATGAGGTAGGATTCTCAGTGACTCTCGCAGATCCGCGCCAGCCTCAGCAAGCCAGTAACTTCTGCCGGCCGAGGCTGATGGCCCTGTCTCAATTTCATACCGTTTTGGTTGTGCGTGATTCCCTTGACTACACCCCTGACACCCGGTGCAGCTCTTGCAGCCCGACGGCTTGAGGCATGCCTGATGTTGTGAGCATCAAACACGGGGGTCATCCTGACATGCCGCGTCGAAACGTGAAACTGTGAATCTCAAGGCCCCCCAAGACAATGCAAACCGCAAAATAACTGTTCAAGTGCCCCGAAAGCAAACCAGTCCTGCGTCCCAGGTCCAAGCCGGACTGCCCTCTCATTGCTTGTAGCGCGGGCTTCACGGAGCTCACTGGCTACTCTGTGCCCCGCCTGTGTTTCTAGACAACGGAGAGGTGGATTCAGGGCTTGCGTTTTGTTATGCCATGGATGTTGGGTCCTCGTGGAATCGAAGCTTCATGCAATGTGCACGTGCTTCAACAGCACTCACTAGCTCGTACCCGGTTGGGATCCAGACAGGTACAGGAGATCGTAGGGCGAAACTGCCGCTTCTTGCTCAATGGCGTGCCCTCCAATCTCATAGACGCCCGGAGCTGAGTTTGCAGTGTTGCGGTTTGCTGTCTTTAGAATCCGCTTATCCCTCAAACCAAGAGTTACTTACTCGTTGGCCCCGGGCATTCCAGCATATGTGAGAGGAAGCCTGTTTTTTCAGCTTAGTTGTTGATTCTGCAGCTGGGATGTTTTGTCCTTGTGGCTTTCCGATTGCACGTGCCGGTACCCTCATTTTCCCCATGCCACCCTGAAAAGTCCCATCCAGGAGGCCACCCGAGTGAAGTGCCGGGCGTTCCCCTGGCCTGGCTTGTGGGTCTGTAGCTTTAAGGCATCGATAAAACAGGTTCAAAAGGTCGTTGGATGTACGCTTGCTGTGAGAAGGGTATTTGTTTCGACTGTTCATGCGTCGTCCTCTTGGGTTTTGGCAGGCTTTGTGTTTTGCAGTTGGTATGGATGCCCTACGGGCTGAGAGCCGGGGAGGGCGCCGGAGTACTCATGCTTTATGTCATGCTGCTGCAGGGGTTTGCATGGATCGAGGACACAAGGCAGTATGGGTAATCCATACAGGTCTTGGGGCCACTTGTTGCTTGAATCTCGGTTTCTGCGATCAGTTTTGCTTTCTGCCGGCGCTGGAACTTTCGGATTTGGGCTATGGAAATTTTGATGCTAGGTGTATTGATCGCTTTTTAAAACAATCACAGCAGTTGCGCACTCAATGGTTTAATTTGCGGACTGATTGGTGCATGGCTTCTGCTGTTGTGGTTTGGAACTACAGCATCTCGCTGTTTCATTTTTACGTGGTCACAGTAACTTGCTTCTACGCTCATTTGGTATTAAATGAAGTTTTGATTCACTTGCGCTCTGGAGATATCCTGCTTTGTGCCAGGTTCTGCAAGGACTCTTCAGATGGAAAGGAGTATGCAGGCCTGTGCCGTGAGAAAAGCATTGGTTCATCTAAACGCTCTCTGAGACGCAAGCCCACCCCCCAAAGCAAACTAGAACTAGTATTCCTTTTTGGTCCCTACATAATTAAACGATATTTACCCCACAAACCCTATTCTAAGTCTTAAGGCCGCTGTATTAGCACTAAAGCCCTTGCCCCCTCCGCTGATCACAAGTTGGGCTTGCATGCGGGTCACGCGGGTGAAGGTGCGCCAGACAATTTGCCAGACGGCCTACAGAAGCCCGGATCTCATGAAAGCATGAGAAAGCCACGGGCTTTTTTGGTTTAAATGGGTGTTTCAAGAAGGTTTCTTTCCACCACAGTTCACCACCTTTTCCATTCACTTGCGATAGAGTCCGCCCAGGCCGTGGGTGGAGCTGCCCAAAGGTGAAATGATCTGTGCCGGGGCTCTCAGACGAGTTCGGGGGGGGGGGGGGCGGAATGTTTTGGGCTCGCATCTTGTTTTCAAAGCTCTGGGATCTGTTCTGCCGAGGGTTTCGGCTCAGGGCTTTAACGCTTAGGGCCCAGGTGGTCCTTTGGCTGAAGACCGACCCCTGAGCCTAGATGAATGCTTAAACCACAAGGAGACTGGGGAGAGCAGTGTTTTTGCCTTTCGGCCTCCTGGAACACATGAGGAAAGAACCCGGGGAAACGGTTGCATTGGAAGCGCGTTTCGCCTGCTGCAGTTCAGCCTTTGGCAGGTGCAGACCAACGCCCGGAAGTCCGGCGAGCTCTTCAGGCAAAGGGCTGCGCAGCATTGTTTGGTGCGGGTTCTCGGGCTGTCTGGATTTAGAAGGTGCGGAGCGACGGTCAACAAAGGAGGTATTTAGGTCCATGGTTTGCATCGCAGCACTCCAATACGATGCGACTGTCAAAAAGTGAGCAAATCACCATGACTTACCCAACCTGCGAATAAACCAAGCTGTGTCTCGCTGTGGCACTGCTCTGGCCAGAAACATGTTCTATTTGAAGCAAGTGGAGCTGGATGAGACCCACTACATCCTCGGTCTTCAGGTGCAATCGGGTCCAGTTCCGGGATTTTTGTTGCCATGGAATCTGAGAATCTAAAGCGATGCGGCGTCTGCAGGTCGTATCAGTCGTAGCAGCTTGCATTGGTTTCTGGCAAATACGATGACGGTGTGTGAGACACTAGGATCGAGAGCGGAATTGCAAAAATGTGGGAGCTGTTCGCTTTTTTACCATTACATGTACAAGAGGACAGGCTACCTGATCACAGCATTCTTATTTCTCCGGATTGTTCACATACTGGAAGATCTACATTCCCTGGTTCCCCTGGAGCACATAATATAGTCGTATGTTTTCAGGGACTTCCCGTTCTTTCTTCGTTTCTACAAACTTACTTGTATATGTACATACGGGTACACGTCTACAGCGGCACCCGTGTGTGTTTAACAATCCTATCAAGATATTATGCCATTAAACCATGGAACCCTTTAAACCAGTGAAAGTTCATTGAACCATCCATGCGCCCCGTGCAAGTCATGATGCCGATACACCATTAACCCAATCCTTTCCCAGTATGACAATGGTGTAACGGCCCTTGGGACAACTGGTTTAATGCTTTCATGGTTTAACAGATCTTCTCACAGAGTGGAAACGACTGGTTTGATGGTTTGATGGTCTGATGCTTTAACGAATTGCCCATAGGCTGGTTTAATGGCTTCATGGTTTCATGATTTTCCCGCGGCTTTACCTGGTTGAACGGTTTAATGTTGCCAAATTGCCATACTTGTTTTTCATAGCCACAGGCCTCGCCTAACACAGCTGATCTCATGAACAGAACTTGTAGAGTAATACTTTTTGATTTTTGCGAGTTCCCCCAAGTTCATCCGGTAAATCGCTTCACTAGTTTGTTAAATGTCGTTTGAGGTCCGCTAGCTCCATTGCTTGTACGATTGTCGGTCGACTCATTGCAAAGGCTGTGCTTTTGAAACTCAGGTATGCACATGTAGCAGTTGTTTTTTCAGAGCCCCTGGCCTCATTTAGCTTAGCAGGAATATTGCCGCTGCTTTCATGAGCAGAGCTTATAGAATCAGACAGAGGACTGACAAAGTTGTGGCAGAGTGGCGCGTGCAGTGCAGTCCTCACATGGTGATTTTTGTGGTGCACCCTCTGTGGGAGCCCACAAGCTGCATCCCCGCAGCATCGGATTGCGGCTCCTCCAAGCAGTTTAGGGTTTAGGGTTTAGGGTTTAGGGTTGAAGGGGTTGGGATAAGGGGGACGGAGACCAGATCCTGATCTGCCTTGTTCCAGAGGCCTCTCGGCCGAAGGCCGAGGCGAATCCTTCTACCTTGCGTTGCAATTTTCGTAGTATGGTATTAAAGGGGTGTCTGAGAGGTTGGAATCATGAACTAAGTTGGTACCAGAGTGAGAGGTGCGTTTGTATTTTCGTACGAGGCAAGCCCCTACGAAGATAGGCTTTTCTTTTACGAAGCAAGGCTCACGTGTGAACGACTTCCCATGAGTTGATCTATTCCGTGGGTTAGGCCTACCGAAAGCATAGCAGGGGTAAATCTTCGAGGTTTAGGGGAAAATCCATTGTGGACTTCAGAAATCCCAACACTCATTTCCCAAGACTTGCCAAGGGTTTTATTGAGTTTTGTGGATATTTGGCAGATCTTCGGAGGTACATTTTGCAGTTCTTTTCCTGATTGACAAAATCCGAATGTCGCCAGCCCCTAACTAAGACTCCCAATCACAAAAAGGTTGCCGAAACCTCCAGGGAAAATCCGAACTTTGGGGTTTGTTGATGGATCCTTTCTGAAGAACCGTGCTGTGAGTGGGGCGAAAGGAAAACAAAAACAAAGTTCGAGTTTCCTTCTGGCTACGAAAGGCACTTGTCTTCGAGGACGCCCCATTTACCATACTTGTTCCCTAAACCCTAAACCCTACACCCGACACCCTAAACCCTAAACCCTAAACCCTAAACCCTAAACCCTAAACCCTTAAACCCTAAACCCTAAACCCTAAACCCTAAACCCTAAACCCTGAACCCTGAACCCTGAACCCCAAACCCTAAACCCTAAACCCTAAACCCTAAACCCTAAACCCTAAACCTAGGTTCACGTTTCTCTTAAAGAAGGTTGGTTTTGTAACACTTGTGGGGAGGTGGGGTGGGCTCTTATCACGCACCATCTGAGGGCCTGAGGGCATCTCTATCCGAGGGGTTACATGCCTATCAGGGATACCATTTTTGCAACACACTCAACCCTAAACCCTAAACCCTAAACCCTAGACCCTAGACCCTAGACCCTAGACCCTAGACCCTAAACCCTAAAAAAAGCCATAAACCCTAAACCTTAAACCCTAAACCCTAAACCCCAAACCTTAAACCCTAGACCCTAAACCCTAAAGCCTAAACCCTTTTTTGCAACACACTCCCTCAATGGTTTACTTTTTTTGTTTGCCATCTTCCAACCTGGAGACCAGACCGTTTTTCTCCAGGTCCGTGCGTGGGTTGCTGGCATCTAGACACAGAAAGTCCTGCAGAAACTATAAAATTGACAAGACCCATATGGTCTTCCTATATATATATATATATATTTAATATACACTTCTATTTATGTACATACATATATATATGTATGTATATGTATACGTGTATTCTCCGGAGGCGGGGCTTCCAGAGGAGTTTGACTTAGATGTCAGCCTGGGCGACCTCGAGAAGAGGTGGGAAAGCTCATGTCGCACAGTTCGGCACGCGGAAGTTTGGAAGTAAGTTTAGGTTCTGGGCTTGATGTGTGCAACATCCCTGCTTTTCTGAAGTTGGTGGTCCAGACTGTCCAAGGGTAACGCTGCATGGTCTGAGCTTGGTCCACATGCGACGTACTGCTGCTTGGGCGTGCTTGGGCGTGGGGGGCTCCCAGGGACCGGGCTTAGGAGCAACATCCTCGACCATGAGCTGGTTTAGGGTTTAGGGTTTAGGGTTTAGGGTTCAGGGTTCAGGGTTTAGGGTTTAGGGTTTAGGGTTAGGGTTTAAGGTTTGCGGTTGAAGGTTAAGACGAGAAGCGCCACAAGACTGGGCTCAGGTGTCAGGTCGCCTTTTGCAAGTTGGAGGAGAACATGACCCTCATTGAGCCTTGGGCCGCAAGGGCGCGTGAGGATGTTTAGGGGTTTAGGGGTTTAGGGTTTAGGGTTTAGGGTTTAGGGGTGGGGGTCAGCATAGGCAACACTGGCTATCAATGTTTGGAGCCCTCAGGTAGCTCAAGCTGCACCCCAACACCTGGAACCCCAATCCGTAGGGTTCAGGGTTGAGTGATTCATGATTCGGGGAGCCCCCACTCAGGGAATCCATCTGCATACTCTTATAAGGTCAGAAGTTTTGGCCCGTTTTTGGGCCGTGAGGAATTTCATGTTTTTGGGTGGCGGTGTCACGTTCGCCTTTGGCGACTCTACAAAGTATTCCCAGAAGTAATCTTTCGTGTTCCCTATGAACTCCTCTATGAACGCCTTCTTTTTACATGCTGTTCAAAACAAGCTGAAAGCTGAAGGCCTCACAACCTCAACTCTGATACCCCCCGCACATAGTTGCAAGAACCGGCCCAGGAGCAGGTGCTTGCACAGCAGTTCTGGTGCCCTCGCTTCTCTTGTGGTTCAGACCTTAAGGAATTGATAGTGGGCTCGACGGGCTCAGAGTGTGGAAGCTGCTTGCGGCGCGGAGAAGTGGACTGCAGGACCCGACGAAACTCAAAAGGTTTAGGGTTTAGGGTTCTTTGCACTGGCGGCCACCACTCGGCCGGTTGTTTGCTTAGTTTCGGCTTACCTGCCCCCACCCTCAATAACTGATTCATGTCCCGTGCCACTTTGTGGTGTGGCTTCATTCCTCCTGACGAGGCTATGGAGAAGGCTCCTTAAGGTGATGTTTCCAGCTTTCTATGTCCTCTTCTGCACATGCTTGAGATTCTTATTTCACAAGCTTTGGGTCCGAGCGGCTTCAGCCAGACCATGAATCCACAGGAACAGCCAAGCTTTTGGCAGGGCGTTTCCGATTTCCTTATCCGCCTCCAAAGATCGTGTGAGCCCAGGGGGCACATAGGGCACATAGGGCACCTCAGGAGAGAGATTACACTGCACACCAAGCCACGAACTTCGTAAACCAAAGCAACACAGCGCGTGGTCGGGTCAGGTACTCTGCTCCGATGAGGCCCCGTGTGAGGTTGTTGAAGCCTTCAGTTCAGGTGGTGGATTTGTTGTGTGTTCCGAGTGTGACAGTCGCAGCCTTGAATTGCCCTAAGAGCTGCAGGTACACTCATGTAGTTATGGGCAGTGACTGGGCAGTGTTGCCCTGGAAGAATGGCACCTTCCCTCGCAGACACGAAAAACACTACCCACTTGTGCGTGCTCTCCTTCTTATTCTCGGGACCGACCTCATGTCACTCATGTCAGGAGTGCCCTCAGCCCCTTTGCAGGCGGCAGCTGTGAGATGATGGGCCTTTTCAGCTGGCAGCTTAAGGGCAAGGCGCCTCACAACAAATTCGGGTGGATATTTGGGCTCTGTTTGGGGCACGTCCTGCCATTTCTTTTTTGCAAGCAGACTTCTTTTCATTCCCGAGCTTGCCGAGGTTGGGTGCCCACGCCATGCACAAGGAAAGCTGAGGGCATTTTGCTTGATTGGCCTTTTCCTCACGCTTGATGAGCAGTACCCGAGGATCCCTCGAGTACACTGGCCGTCAGGTCCCTTTAACTGCATAAGTATGCGCGCTACCTGAACATCAGATGGCTTCCATCCTTCCCGGGTCCGGCGTGCTGCGGCCCTGCATACAGGGCGCCCTGGATGTCTAGGGAAGCACACTTATAAGCTGATGTCAAGGTTCTGTGGTTTGCGAGGTGAGCTTGGTCAGCATCTCTACAGCCTTTCTGCATGCAAGGTCAAGCCCGAAGCCCGAGAATCCACAAGAAAAACAACGGCATGGTGACCATGTTGAAATAGACTTGGAAGCACTCTGCAAGTGTGCATCTCAGCAAGTGTCATGCGTCCCACCTCCCTGTGCCCT